AACTACAGTGTCGTACACAACAGCAACGGCTCCATCTACCGCCACAACATAGTGACAACATGATCGCTCTATAAAGTTATACGGCCCTAAAACCGATCATCCAGCCACTCCATCTGCCGCACAACAACGCTTAGCCCGGCCTTGTGTCGCCACTGTGCGACTGCTATAGGCCTATTAATACCACCTTATGCTGACGCTACTACGACTGTGCTGTAAGGCCTTAATGACAACTACAGCAGCAGCAGCGGCGGGTACTGCCGGCACTCGCAGCCCAACTCCATCTGCCGCCACAACACAGTGACAACATGATCGGCCGATCGGAGGATAAAGCTATATGGCGCTAAAATCCTCCATCTGAGGCCACAACGCTTATGCCATCCATTATCATGAACTACGTTTGTGCTTCTTTGAAACTACCTTTGTGCTGCGCAGTGGCAGGATTTTTTGCGTAAAATCAAATAGACCAGCCCTCGGAAACAGTGGCGAGGCCGACCTGCTTCCTGCGAAATTCCAGGCAGAGACATTGGCTGGCCGAACATTGTGATTGTGTGACTGCTATAGGGCCCTATTTCGACTACGATCGTGCTGTAAGGCCCAATCGCTACTGCTTCTGCTATAACACCCGATCGTGAATACATTCGTGATTGAAGGCTCAATCGTTATGATTGTGCTTCGGCGTCATTGCAGTAAACTATGTTCGAAAGATGCTGTAAGGGCCAATCGTGAGCACGATAGTGCATTAAGGCCCGATCGTGAATGCGTCCGTGCTAGAAGGCTCCATCACGACTATGATAGTGCTGATATGTATGGTCTAGCTAATGAATGGCGCAATCGCATTCAACAATGTAATAAACAGTCTAGTGCAGTGTTTTTCAACCTGTGGGTCGCGAAGCCTCTATAGGGGGGTCGGGAGAGGTCGTAAAAATTAACTCAGTAAAAAAACAGTAAAGTTTTAAAGATAGATTTATCCGAAATCTAATTTTGCAAATGCGTAAATGTTGTAAGGATTGAAGTATTCGGTCCCTACAACATCTTTGTAACATTATAAAATGCATGGAAAAAAAGCGAACGGTCGGGGGGTCGCAAAATGTATTTTCATACTAGGGGGGTCGTGTCATGAAAAAGGTTGAAAAACACTGGTATAAAGCCGTGAGCACGTAGAATCCCGTCCAATGACCCCAAACTACCCATCCTTATCGCTCGCGCGTAATTATATTGCTGTCGCGACTGTGCGACGGGCGCCCGCAGTGAGTGTGCGAGCGCGACAGCAACATAATTACGTGCGAGCGACAAGGATGGGCAGCTTGGGGTCATTGGACGGGATTCTACGTGCTCACGGACCAGGCTTTAGTGAATGTGCACGACGTCGTTACATCGATCAATACATACATTATGGCCGTGCTGTAAGACCCACCCCTATAAACATAAAAGTCATTGTATTCAAGTGTATAAAGGTATATACGTGTATATTGTAGTACTCACGGCAGGATGCGGGTGCGGGATATAGGCGGGCGGTTGCTGTGCCGCCGCTGCCGCCACCATCGCGTACGCCGGCACCGCCGGCACGGCCGCCACCTGCGAATGTCGACCCTATTGTCAAAGGCATTCGGCATCATTTTGAACGGTCAACATGGCTGAAGAGAAACTCCTACCACTAAATCAGGGGGCGCGACTGTGCGACGGGCGGCCGCAGTGAGTGTGCGAGCGCGACAGCAACATATTTACGCGCGAGCGATAAGGATGGGTAGCTTGGGGTCATTGGACAAAATTCTACGTGCTCGCAGACCAGACTATAGAACAAAGTAGTGTGTACGTTAGTGAAGTTTGCTTCAAGCAACACATTTATTTTCTTAAATAGCCGAGACCCTAATATGTAGGGGAGTTTGGTATATTAGACCGGCTGCTAAATTAAATTAAAATGGCTACAATGGCAACACAATAAAGGTCATAGCAAACTTATCAAATCGGAAAGGGATCAACACCGTATCGCCTTTCGCGCGCTGTCAACCGCGAGGCGAGGCGTTTACGTTACGGTGCGGCTAAGTGTGCGTTGTAATATAGAGTTTCATACAAATAATACTGACCGCCTCGAGTTAATACGGTTACGATCCCTTTCCGGGTTGATATATGCTACACCTTTAATACGCAAAAACAATATGACTGATAAATAAATGTAATTAGTTATATCGCAGAGTTACAGCCATTGCAGTATTTTAAGGAATATTCTGCGAAATATTAAGGTCGTCCAATTTAGCAGCTGGTCCAATATACAAATAGCAAATGACAGAAATACAGTTCTACAGGGTGTTAGGTAAATGGGTATATGAGCCGACACTAGCCCATGTTGACATCTATTCTATACTATCTGTCTGTCTGTCTGTCTGTTACGCTTTCCCGCTTAAACCTCGCAACCGATTTTGATGAAATTTGGCATAGAGATAGTTTGAGTCCCGGGAAAGAACATAGGATAGTTTTTATCCCGGTTTTTGAAACAGGGACGCGCGCGATAAAGTTTTTCTGTGACAGACAAAATTCCACGCGGGCGAAGCCGCGGGCGGAAAGCTAGTAGGCATATAAATGGTATGGTGAAGTCAGAAAATCTATATCTTGATTTTAATTATTTTAATTTTCATACAAAATAAATTTTATAAAATCCGATTTGTATGAAAATTAAAATACATAGACTTCACCATACCATTTATATGCCTATGTTAACATGGGCTAGTGTCGGCTCATATACCCATTTACCTAACACCCTGTATAAATAAATAACTAATAAATCAAATTACTTACCATATGCTGTGGCGGAGGGTGCGGCGCGGGCATATAACTGACGCCCGTGCCCACTACGCCCATGCCTCCTAAGCCCACGCCCACACCCACTCCCACACCGCCCACGCCCACGCCGCCGATTGGCGTGCCGGGGGTGTGTGGCCTGTAATACGGAAATGAACGTGGTTAAATAAGATGGAAGATATGTGAAGTGTAAAAAATCCTTGAGCTAACTTATAAACACATTGTTCAAATGTATGAAAAGCTGTCCAATATACAGATTATGATTAGAAATGAGTAATAGACACTTGGTGAGTAGACTGAAAACAAATACTAAACTTTTTTATTTTGTGATGGCACGCACAGAAATCTATACTAATATTACAAATGCGAAAGTAACTCTGTCTGTCTTCTGTCTGGTTTAGGCGTGAAAGCCAGACGCTTTCACGCCAAAACTACTGAACCGATTTTGATGAAATTTGGCATAGAGATAGTTTGAGTTCCGGGAAAGGACATAGGATAGTTTTTATCCCGGTTTTTGAAACAGGGACGCGCGCGATAAAGTTTTTCTGTGACAGACAAAATTCCACGCGGGCGAAGCCGCGGGCAGAAAGCTAGTTTTCATATAAACGCGATAGAAAAACAGTGTTTTGAGAATCTCATAAAAAGTATCTAATCGGTAGGTGGTGTCTAAACACCGCGGTTGTTGTCAAAGGATGTAAGAGGGGTGTTCGAAAAGTAATGAGAATGGGATATTGAAATTGAAATAAATGAAATAATCGAATTGAAAAAAAAGTAGCTTAATTATAACGTAGCTTATAATGCGAACAGCTAGGGATTGGAAATCGCTGCCTGCTGCTGTCTTTCCCGAAGACTATAATCCGGGCATTTTCAAGGCGATAGTGAATAAGCAGTTACAGGGCAGATATGTACCATCCTAGACTGCATCCCACTTAACATCAGGTGCGATTGTGGTCAAATAACTGCCTTGTTATACATATAAAATATTCTTCACTAGGAACTGGTAAAAAATTCATTTAAGTTCACCATTGCGTTTAAGAAATACTTACCGGCTGGGGTTGGGCGTGGTAGGGCTCCGCGGGGTGAATGTCTTGGTGGCGGGGTTGAACTCCTTGGCGTTGGGGTTGTGCGTGGACTTCTTGAGCGTGGCGGCGGCGGCGCGGGAGCAAGGTTCTGGAGTGGAGGGTACATACCGGAAAAAGCAAGTGGATGGACGCAGTAAGGCGCTGGATGTAGGTTGCTACCAACCGGGTGATGTGGAAATCATTAGGTATGTCTTGTGGCTAAAATGATGATGATGAAGTTACTTACAGGCTGGGGTTGGACGAAGAAGGACTGCGCGGCATGGTTCTGGAGTGGAGGCCACATACCGGAAGACGCAGGAGACCTCATGAAAGAAAGCGCTGGATGCAGGCCGCTACCGCCCGGGCATTGTGGAAATCCTTGGGTGAGACCTATGTTCTTACGAGACTATTCCCACCTCTCGTTCCCACCGCTGCAACTCCTGTGTAGCCAGGATCTACAGCTTGACCGCCATAAAAATCCAACCAATGAAGGTCAAGTTTGTCCCGGGGGAAAGTTAAGCTGTCATTGGACCCGCAACGAAATTAATCAGAAGAACATAGGAGGAGTTCGAAATTAAGGTTTGACTCCCTCCATTGCAAAGCGAATGACAGGTGACAAACAAAGGTTTTTGAAACCTTTAACCCTATGTTCTGCGGCTGAAATGATGATGAAGATGATAAGTAACTTACCGGCTGGGGTTGGGCGTGGAAGGGCTCCGCGGGGTGAATGTCTTGGCGGCGGGGTTGAACTCCTTGGCGTTGGGGTTGAGGGTGGACTTCTTGAGCGTGGCGGCGGCGGCGCCGGGAGACGTGGAGGCGGGCGGCGACGTGGATTCCGGCGAGCGCTCCGGCGGCGGCAGCGGCTCTTCTGGCTTTGGGGCTGGCGGGGGCTGGTGAATGCGAAATGTATTAGTGACAATGAAAAAATCGTGATATACTGGACTATTCCTATCGCTGTCTACTACTGTGTAGACAGGATCTACAGCTTGAAGGTCAATTAGTCATTTATGTAAATTGGACACAATGTACGATGAACAGATTGTATCCAGACTGCAGTGGGCGGCTTCCTGCCCTTTTCGTAAGGCGAGCAATATCCGAACACAATCTCAAACTCATGAAATCATGACGATTTCGACAACTATCAAGAGTGTGACGACTGAGAAGATTAGATGAAGTTATTACTGTCGATTTATCTTTAGCCGGGTGGTAGGCTGAGTAGAATAGAACCACTCCACTTTCGTCTCGTCATCGTAAGAGGCGACTAAGGAAGAAATATGCGAATAAAGCCTTCAAAATCCTGACAAAAGTTGGGAGTGTAGATCATTGCCTTCATTTCCTCTAGTAAATTAAAGGGTCGTCCTCATGCATTAAAGACTAAAACATCTGATGACGATGATGTGTCTTGCTATAATTGGTAAATAGTGTCAAATGGTGGTAAAGGGAGGCCATATTCTCTATTTGTTTTACGGTGCTACTGCAGAGCATACTAAATGAGTGTTTTGCAATCTACTATATAAAAATAAATCGGGTTTTCCTTCCTGACGCTATAATTCCAGAACGCACAAACCGATTTCCACGGTTTTGCATTCGTTGGAAAGGTCTGTCTCGGGCTCCGTGATAACAAAGAAAATTCAGGAAAATTTAACAAACGAAATTCCACGCGGGCTAAGCCGCGGGCGGAAAGCTAGCCATTAACCGATTGAGTCCCAGACGGCATTAATTAATGTCATAACAATTGATTATCTATTGTGTCTAGATTCGCGGGCCTTGAAGGATTAATAAATAGTTCCAATGGTGAATGTAGGCCATATTCTCCATTTGTTCTTTAGTGTTCCCGCAGTGGAGACTAAAGCCATGTATTCATTAGGCAACATTTGTTGATTTTTTATGACTAGTGTGAAACAAGTTTACCATAAACACAGGTTTCTGAAACTTGGCCGTCCACACTTGCTCTCCACTCATAGCGGGGAGCACGGCAACATGTATCATAAACAATGTTTCATCACCTATGTTTATGGACTGTTTACAGAGATGATGAAACATTGTTCATGAGCAGTTTATAAACAGTGTTTATCAACAAATGTTGCCTAATGAATATGTTACGGTTAATGAGATAAATTGAAAATTATTAATAATAACCGGTTATTATGAATAATTACCAACAGTCGCGGTAAAAGTGATAAATTAATCACATTTAACAGTGATTATTTAATAATTCAACTTTAGTACTAACAAATTTCATAAAAGAGAACAACATCTTGTGTACATGCTCGTGTACAGCCAAACTTTTGAACGTTTTGATATCATATATTAATATAATTTGCCATAATGAGTTTGGAATGTTTCTTGCATAATATTACTTTTCCATGATGCCTGTAACATAATGTTTTGATTTAAAGTGAAAAATAGGTTAAGGTCCTAAGCCGCCTATTTAGTTTTATACACACATAAATGACCTCATATTTTATTTTATTTTTCTTTATTCAGAAAACCACAGCTCTTTATAATAATAATACAAACAGGTATTTTTGTTCTTACAGCCAATAATGGATTCTATATATT